AGCGCAAAGCTGCCAGCCGGGCACCGGCCGGGGGAACACGCGAACCTCGGGGGCATCTTGGCAAGGTCCGCGCGGCAAACGATAGCCAAAAGGGCGATTGGCCAATCAATTCGCCCGGAATACCCGAATGGAGGGGCCTTCCTGTGTTGATTAAGGTAAGCTCCTGGCTGTCATGTTAGTCAAGCTTCCGGGGCCCGCCAATCACTTCTTTATTATCGTCGTTGTCCGTGGATTATGTGATTTTCCACATCGGTCATTACGTACAATGCTCTGCGACCCTACTCCTCAGCCTTCTCGATGCCGATGAAAAGCTGCTCCTGCTTATTGATTTTTTGGGGACCACAGCTAGATGTGTATGATCAACGAACCAGTAGACCAGAATCCCTTCGAGACAAGATACTTCGAGCACTGATTTCCACGTCGCTGTCGTCATCTTCGTTATGTTTATGTCGATTGATTCTTTCCATCGCGGATGTCACCCGTTGCCTAGGCGAGATCCTTCTCGCCATCTTCTCCGTCCGTTCTTCTAGCTGCTTATCTTTCAATCGTTGTTCCGCGCAGACATACAACTGGGGGAAAAAAAACTCACGTTCGTCAGCTTAAAAATTAGCCACGCCGTTGTCATCAATACGATGGTAACAGTGGCAAACGGAAGATAGATCCACCACGCAGGGTTTGATTCTAGAATATCAATGTTCATTCCAAAACAGGTCTGTAAGCAGGCAATTCTCTCAGTCAAAAGTCATCGGAGGGTGTGATATCGGGCGATTAGGTTGATACGTACCGCCACAAACGTGATGGGAAGGAATATGAACTGTCACTTTCTTAGCATAGCCTGCCACTGAGGTTATGAGGGTTCGCCTTGAGATTGTCAACTTACGGTAATCCAACTCAAGCGTTTCATACTTGCCGCCATAGAGACAGACCTCTGTGCTTCCCTAATTGACACGCGGTTGAACTCCTATTCTCTTGATGTCAGTACAGAATGAAGTGCACCCTGACTGCTACGAATATTCATGGGAGCGCACCATTTGAAGAAGGTCCTGTGAAGTCTTGTCCAGCTGGTCAAGTTTGCTGCTGACGTCGTTTGAAAAATTGTCGACTGCTCCCAGGAGCTCACTCAAGTCGTAGTTTCCACCGTGACGATTTGAATACTCGCGAGCAAATCTACGAGCAACCGATGCGGTGGTCTGTAGTCGCATCCGCTGGTCCACCCAATTCTTACCATCATGCAGTAGCCGATCGAGGAGTTCGGGATCGCTGCCTCTGGCGATCAATATCTCGGACCTCCGCTTCAAGTTTCCAGTCAGTGACTCGTTCCGCGCTTGGCAGAAGGCGTAGTTGTGGTTTGGGTAGATACCTTGGTATTGAGCCACACGATGTAGCTCTCACAGAGTTTCAACCACTCCCCTTTAATATGGGCAATGAAGTACTGGAAAAAGTCTTCACCGTTTCTGGGAAGCCAGATATGTGGCAGTGTAGTGAGGTGACTCGTTGTCTGCCAATACTGGCTATCATACTCGTTGCCGCAGAGTTTGACGTTCCAGGATATGAGATAGTTGTTCTCTGGCTTCATCTCGCATGTGCCTTCTCCATGGTCGTCTGGGCATGGGTAAGGGGGTAGAGTGAGCTGAATGACAAAGTCCCAAGTCCACGCTTGAAGCAGATGACCTAAACTTGGATCTAGTTGCAGTATGACAAGTTGAAAGTGCTTGGGTGGCTTAATATCCTTGTATCTCAAATCCAGCATTATGGCTTGCTGTTCATCTCGTGGAGAGAGCCGTTGTCTAGATCGCAACATGAGTTTGGACATCCTTCGATTACTTCAAAGATTGAGACACTTACAGGATAGACCTCTCAGTTCCTGGCTCCTCTATGAACTGCCTTCCCCGCCTAAGGCCTCTCAAGAACACGCCTCGCTGCTCTTCCTGGCATAGCTGAAGGGGTTCGTCGCTCGACAGGCCCAATGACTTCCGCAACTTTCCAACGTTGACAGATCTGGTATCGGCGTGATTCGCTAAGAACACCATGAGCATTTCAGAGCTGTGTAAGTCTAGTGCTAGTTTTGGAGCTGTTAGGCCATTTATGTCCTGTGCGTTCATGTCTGCCCCTGCGGATATTAGAACAGTGACTAGCTCGACGTCATTCAGAGAGACGGCGAGGTGCAAGGGCGTCTTCTTGAAGATATCAGGGGCGTTCACATCGCAGCCGGACTCCAACAGAGACTCGATAAGAGCAGTCTCCTTTGCCTGCACAAGCAGTCGCAACGTCAGCACATCACGATGGCTGAGCAGACGCATAACTGCCTTTTGGTGGTATTCGGCTGCCCACCATAATGGCGTGTGCCCAGAAGCATCTTTGCAGTATGCTGATTCCCCACTTTGCAACAAGAGAGATGCTGCATCATGTAGTCCAAAATAAGCGGCCAAGTGAAGTCCCGTCACATTACCATCGGCACCTCTGCCACGGAAAGTTGGCTCAGATCCATTTCCCATCATGATGGCCTGGCTCGATATTTCGACCCTCATTCCGTTTCTGAGGAATTTCATGACCTCTGCACTTGGCTCGGGGCATTTCTGTGCATGATGGCCCCAATTGCAAGCTGCGTATTTGAGAAAGGGACTTGTCCGGCACCTGTCTTGTAGTTCCTGGGTTGACTGGCAGGAGCCGTCATTGGAAATAATGTGCGATACCTGCGCTATGCATCGAGAGGTCAGTTTTTCATGGGCTCTGGGGAACCGTTCTCCATGGGCGATTAGGAAGTACTCTCGTACGGACTGGTGGAAAACCCGTACGATTTCCGTTTGATTATCGTAGTGCATGATTCCATCAAGATCTGATATAATAGTTTTTATCTCAGGCAACGTCTCCAGATCCTCCAGTACGTCCGCGGCGAGAGCGTGCTGGAGCTCCCTAATAGTGAGAGGACGCACTGAGAAAGTGAGCCATTGTATCACCTCCCACGCAAAGCCGCTACCTGGACGTGACAGAACGTCACGCGTAAGGTCATCAAAAATCCGAGTCAGACTTTTATCCAGTATATTCATGGACTTGAAAACACGTCTAAATTGCGCTTCAGTTCGTGTTTCTTGCAAAAATTTGATGATGTTGTCGGTAATGGTTGGTCTACCACAAAGTCAGCAATTTCTCTCAAGTCACTAAATGATTTGAGTCCGGGCGTTTACTTACATCCCTCCAGAAGCGGCAATTATCTGGCTAGCCAAAGAAGTCTTGTCAGGAATAATAGTTTCAGGGATGTTCTGGAGACAATCGATACCGTAGGCCATGGTCTTTGTTGGGGACTCTACTAAAGTGGTTGTGATGTATGGTTGGAATGGCTCTAGACCTTCGACAACGGATCTTGATGTGGCGAAAATTTTGATCGTGAACTCTTTTCGAAGACCATAAATTCTAGCCAGAAGAATGCGTAGGCTTTCCCTCTCGAACTCATCCAGTCCGTCTAAAACAAAATAGAAGGGCCCGCGTTTGTGTGTGAAAATCCATGTCGCATAACTGCAGTCAGATCGTGGGTAACTTGATCCAGTGTCCTAGCGGTTGATAACTCTTGGAACCGTGTGACTTTGGATAAAATCGTTCCCCGACTGTTGTGTGCAGCTTCGAGGGCCAACTGATGAAGCAAAAGAGCGAGGAGATGCTCAACGCGCTTCAATTCTGCCCCACCACCCCAAAGACCGAACAAAGATGCCACAGGATGGTTTTCTCTTGCAAGCTTATCGCAAAATATCGATGCTAAAATCGACTTTCCAGTGCCTGGTGCGGCAACGCAGAGGAGCAATTGGCTTTTCCTTTTTTGGAAGTTGCGATAATCCTGCGTTGTGAAAAAGTCGACGCAGGTACCGGGGGCCCGACGGTTGAGGTTATTGAGCCGGATGTTTAGCATTGCATCAATAGGGGGCAAGCTTCGCATGAATTCGGCCCAGGGGTCGCGGACCATCCTGTCAAAGGTTCTCCATGAGGACATTGTGGCAAGTGATCGTGGGGATGTAGGTGTCCAAGGGAGAAGGCAGATATACAGTTCGTAGTGGACGGCTGGTCAAATATTTCAGCCGCTCCGCTGTGCCAAAACAGCCCTGTCTCTGCTGACCGGCGCCTGCATCACGCATGCAACTATTGCCGCTTGAAGACTGGGGTCCAGGGGCTTTATTGGCTGAGATGTTATAAGAGCAGAATACCATCACCACAACATACCACACTAAAAGAGAGGCATGGGGGAATAGATTATCTATGAAACCCTCGAGGCTAGCATCATGAGTACTGAGTCTGAGCGTAGGAGCTCATCATTTGCTTATCGTTCAGAATAGTTGCCTAAGACGCTGTTGCTGGAGAGGTACAAGTGAAGAATCTTGTAAAGTATGTCAAAAAATATGGAAGTAAAAGATGCGCGCTACGTCTAATCTCTGTTTGATGAGACTAACAGTGCCATGATTCAGTAGGTGAATGATTCGAGATATAGGAAAAAGCTACGAGCCCCGAAAAGCGCTTCATAGTACGGCTACCACTGTGATTGTACAAGGTCCATCGTTATCGCCTTACTACCCTACGACCACTCTCTAATGCTGGAGAGTGCAGGTGAGAAGAAACATCAGTGCTCCCAGATGAGAGCTCATATCCGCTCTCCGATCCTTGTCCCTTCTGTCCGACGGCAACGTCTTTGAGGTGAGATACCCATGCCCTCGCTTTGGTCTCAATCGTTTTCTCAAGCTATAGTTGCTTACGGTCAGCTCCTTCATGCTCACGGGAGATATTGATACTACTGACCTCAGTGAATTTGAAGATGAGCCATACGACAGATGTCAGAAGTGAGGTGATGATGGCGAAAGGGATGTAAGTCCACCAAGCAGGCTTTGATTTGTCTAAGATGTCTATGTTCATCCCAAACAAGGTCTAAAAGTTTACCGTTAGTATGTGTTGCAGAATCTTCAGCTTTTGAGTCTTACCCCTATGAACGTAAGTGGTAGGAAGATGAACTAGTCAAGGTTTCAGCTATCTGTTGGAACTGTGTATGAGGAAGGTGATGTTACCGTAATCCAGCTAAGTCGCTTCATGCTTGTCGACGAATGAACTGACTGCCGCGCTTCCTTGATAGAGACGAGATTGCATTCCTATGGTCCTGTAAGTCGTAGACCCACCACTTGGGCAATACCCACTTTTCATGTACTTACTAGCTGAATGAGATCTCTCGAGTTCTCGTCCAACTCACTAAGCTTCTTTCCGACCGCAGCAGAGAGCTGGTATATCGCTTCTGTGAGTTCTTCGAGATCGCCGGTCTCGTTGTGCTGAAGGCAGTACTTCCTCGCGAAATTCCGAATCTTGGAAGCGACCTTGGAAAGGTTGTGACGATGGCTGAGCCACCTTTGACCATTCTCAAGCAGGTGATCTAGGAGCTCCGGGTCAGATCCCTTGGACTCAATGATCCTCTTGCGAAGCTGTGGTGTAGCGATGCGTAAGTAAACCTCTTTTGGGGTCAAAACATTTGGGGACACATCAGATAAATACGCACATGGAGATCTACGAGATTGGCATCGCAGTAAGCAAGCCAGGTATGTTTGACATGGACGAGAAAATGCCGTAGAAACACCGCGCCGTTATCCGGAAGCCAAATGTGTGGCATGGTGGTGAAGTGGGCCTTGGTGTGCCATTGCTGGGTTTTCTCATCAAGAAAGACATCCCAACAGAGCACCAACTGTTCACAAGGTAGAGCCTCGTCGTTGTTGGGAGAGTTCCACATAAACGCCTCGATGTAGTAGGTTACATGACTCATGTTGTCTTCTTGTGAGATGATCTTGAGGTTCAGTTCCTCAATCTGAAGGTTGTCTGTCAAACAACGGAGCTGAGGTGAAAACGGGATGTCGCCGAGGATCTGTTGTTGCCTATTGAAGAGGTAAGCGCTCCAGTCAGAGGTATCAGTGAAGGGGGACACTTACAATGAGAATCTCTCTGTCGGCCCCCAATCCTCGAATCGGCGTCTATCTTCTGGCTTCAGCCGTAGAACGGTGGTGTTGTCATCTCGAAAGATCTCCAGAGTCTGGTCGTCCTGCCACCCAAGCGCCTTGCGGAACTTGGCCGTATTCACGAAATCAGTGTACCCTCCCTTGCCGATAAGAAGGCGGATTATGTTGCTATTGCGGTTATTGAGCGCTATAGCAAGTGGTGTTTCGCCCCCCATGTTTTGCACGTTGACGTTAGCAGCGGCGAACAAGAGATCCTTAACTATCTTTTCAAAGCCCCGGCGTACAGCGTGATGTAACGGGGTATCCAGCGAGGCATCGGCGATGTTGACGTTGTACTTGCCATCGAGCAAGACTTTGACCAGATCCCTCTTTTCGGCCACGACAAGCAGTGAGAGGGTGGTTGTATCACTCCGACAAAACAGTCTGACTACCTTATCCTGTCTGTAATGGGCAGCCCACCAAAGTGGCGTCCGGCCTTGTGTATCGACGGAGCTCAACGGTGCAGTCCCTTCGCTGAGGAGCTCTTCAGCAGCAGTTCGTATCCCAAAGTAAGCTGCTAGATGAAGTCCCGTGACTTTCTGAGGGACCCGTTGCGTGTATCCGGGTGTCCTAGATGAAGATTGATCAATGAAAATTGCCTGGCTCGACATCTCAACATTAGTGCGGTTGTCTAGAAACCTCATGGTGGCTGCAACAGGTTCCGAGCATGCCTGGGTGTGAAACCCCCAGTGGCAAGCAGCGTAGAGGAAGAAGGGATTGTGGCTTATCCTCTCCTCGAAATCTTCGTCCGACTTGCAGAACCCGTCACCGGAAGCTACCCTTGATAACTGCCTCAGACAATAACTGACAATATTGTCGTGGATCTTGGGGGCTCTATCGCTTCTCTCATGCCAAAAGTAGTCTTTGACAGCGCTGTGGAAAAAGTCGATTGACTGATGCCCTTGCTCTTCTCTGATCGTGACGATCCCGTGCAATGCTGATGAGATCTTCTCTGTTGTCGGAGGCACACGCAGGTACTCCGAGACATCTGCCACAAGAGCATGCTGGAGCTCCAGCATTGTGAGTGCTCGGTCAGAGAAAGTCAACCAATTTATGACGTGGGAAGCGAGCCCTGATTGAATATGATCTGAACGCGCTTCGATCAGTCCTCCGAAGACGTGGTTCAGATGTCGACGTTCTTGAGTCCAATGTCTCAAGAATTGTTGGAACTCGAACTTTGTATGCATCGGCGAAAGTTCATCGACAATGCGACTCGCAACATGAAAACTGGATTGGCTTAGCGAAGAACCTTTGTTCAAGACTGGTGGATGGCAACTTACATCCCCTCGGTTGCTTTGAAGATAATATCGTAGAACTCGATGTGTTCTGGGTTTGCGTACGACGCTGGCGGCTTTACCCGGGAAGCAATGTATTCCTTCAGGTCTGCTGTGTCTGAAACCGGCATTGACAGGGTCGCGACTGAGATGTCTTCGTTCGTCAGAGACATTGAAAAGGTTGAAGTAGCGAAGATCTTGATGTCGATCTCAGCACGTAAGCGGCTGAAAAGAGAAAGAAGACTGCCGGAAACTTCAAGATCAAGTCTGTCAAGTCCATCCAAGACAAGTGAGATGCTTGCTCTCATGGCTTCACGCTTCGTGCTACGGTGACACAGCAGCGACTCGAGGGAAGTCAGACCGTTGGTGTTCCCGATGGTGTCACCTTTTCGAGGACTCGAAAGCTTCGCCAGCAACTCCATGTCTGTGCCGTAATCAACCTCCGCGAGTAGTTGCTGAATAAGACATCCCGTGAGATGATCCATTTGCTGAGAATCATTATCGCAAGACAGAAAGAGTACTACACTATCTGGGTTTCTCAACTTATCAAGCACTGCGGCAGCTAGGACTGACTTGCCCACACCCGGCGGACCAATGCAGAAGAGTGTCTTATTCTTCTCGTTCTCCCATTGACGGTACACTTCATTGTCAAATATCCAGCTACATGTTCCAGGATGTCGAAGGGCCAGATTTTTGCGATGTATATCTTTCATGTGCTCGGCAGGAGGCAATGTCTCTTGGAAGGCATCCCATGATTGAAGCTCCATCCTCGGCTGTGGCAAGAATTATTTTCAAAGGGTTTGGGTCGTGACGCAAATCGGCTATAATTCAAAGCATAGATCAAATCGGGGATGAAATGAAGGGTAGAGATGAGATAAGAGTCAACGTAACGGGGTGATGACCATAATGATAGGAGCGCCTGAACAGAGTCATGAGTGCTGCGAATCGCTTCAAATGAGGCGGCAGTGAGGCAAGGCGGCTCTGCATATTCAGCCTGCGTAGTCGGCGCCTGGTCATGAGCCGTAGCGAAAGCGCACTTTGAGCTCGGGGTTGATACTGCGCCTGAAATAAGATGGCGCGGAAAGTTCTATTGGGTAATGACAACCAACTTCGATGTAAACCGAAAAAGCTAGTGAAATGCCTGTCACTTGCCGCCAATAAAGTAACAACAGAGCAATTGCCGATTCTTGCTGACCCTACTATCAATGTAGTAGAAAAAGAGGGTGTGGAAGCCGGCATGATCCTACAGCCTTACTTGTTTCCCCTCATGTTGTTTATGAGAGACCCCTACGGCTCATTTCTACGAATACGAGGTGAAGGAATTGTGTTGCCTTGGACGGGAAAATGACAAGTGAGATGATTGAATGTTTTCCGTGTTGAGCTGCAATGAAAAGAGGGGGTATCTTGGTACGTTACAAATACAAATGCTGAGTCGGGATATACACTCATCTTACAATCCCTCACATCCCTCCTATTGGGTCTACTGTGCCACGCCCGACGACCGCTCATACAACGCCTTGAACGCCGACTTGCTCCTCAGAAGCTGACGAGGCTCTCCATACTCGACAACCACTCCTGAATCGACGACTGCAACCCGTTCAAAGTCCAGTATTGACTCCAGCTTATGTGCAATAGCGATGACGGTCCAATCTCTGAACCACGAGCGGAGGACCTCGTCGATGATTTTGCTAGACTCCTCATCCAGACTATTGCACAGTTAGTTTCTGATCTACTTGAGGTGACATAGGATGGTGCCTGCGTCATGGACTCTTATACAGAATATGAGGCATTCAAGGCAGGAAGACCCGATGGCAGTCACGGGCACCTGACTTGCCAGCAAGACCTCGATGCAGCAAAAGAAACAAAAGCCAAACTCACCTGCTCGTAATCTCATCCAAAACAAGCACCCTCCCCTTCCTCAACATAGCCCTAGCAAAAACCAATAACTGCGCCTCGCCCTGCGAAAAGAACTTATCATCAATCACCGCATCGAGACCGCCGCGCTCCTCGACTTTATCCCAGAGCTGCACTCTCTCCAAGACCGCCGTGATCTCCCCGTCCGAAGCTGTCTGGCCCGGGTCGAGATTTAACCGCACGGTGCCGTCAAAGATGTAGGACTCCTGCGGGACGGCAACGATCTTGGAGCGGACGTATTCGTGGGGCAGCGTGGCGATGTCGATGTTGTCGATGGTGATTGCGCCCGAGTCTAGGTCCATCATGCGGAGGAGGCAGAGGAGTAGGGAGCTTTTGCCGCTGGATGGGGTGTTAGATGTCTTTGACTGTTAAGGATAGGAGGTACAGAATGACTTGCCTGCCTGTCCGACCGCAGATTGCAACCTTCTGACCTGGTTCGATTGAGATGTCGACGGCTTTGAGTACGGCACCAGATGATCTGTTACAGTGTCAGCTTCACACTGCCAGCTTAAGGGTGAGCAACTTTCTAAACTTACGCATAGGACGCCATCACTTTCCGGAGCTCAACGGCTCCTCGACTCGGCCACTCTCCCTCCGGCTCCGCAAGCTGCAGCTTCGAGCCATCCTCAGACGCCGTCGTCAAAGAAAAGTTCCTCACCCTCGCAACCGCACCAAGCGAGACCTCCAACATGACCCAAGACGTGATAATCGCCTTGACGCACCCGCTAAACGCCAACACATTCGTCAACGCAACACCAATGAACCCGGGCCCAATCTGTTCCCTCAGTGTTGTGACCAAGACAATCAGGACGACGGCGATGACTGCAATAACCATGTCAACCGAAAACGTCAACCAGCTCTGCAGACATGCGAGGAGGTACTTTGGTCGCTGCGAGTCGTCGAGCCGGCAGAGGTTGACTTTTTCAAAGTTTTCTTCCCAGCGGAAAGCTCTGATTGTCGCTAGGCCCTCAAGGGTTTCGATGAGCTGGGAGTAGAGGGGCGCCTTGTGCTCGATGTCGAGGAGGCGCATTTGTCTCGAAGTGCGGAGGTAGAAGTGCTGGATGGCGTAGAAGGTTGGGATGAGGAAGGGGAGGATGGCGGCCATGTAGCGTGAGGAGACAGACATTACTATAAAGCGGGCTACGCCGAATGCGACGCCTGAGTAGTGGAAGGTCAGTAGGGCTTTGGTTTCGTCATAGGTGGACAGAGAGTCTTGCTTACCTACGGCCAGACCGAGTGCTGCGGCTGGTAGCTCCATGTCGATGAGTTGGAGGTCTTGGCTGAATCTGTTGACTGTGATGCCGCTATCCACTGAACTGTGAAATGACATGGGGGCACTGTTTCTATTACTATCAAGACCAAGAAAAGGCTGGTTGTGTGCCTTACCGAGATGTGGTGTCTAGTAGAACACCATGGAAGTAAACTCCTGATTTGTTGATGATGACAATAAAAAGTTGCCTAGAATCTATGGTTATGAACGGCTCTACTGAGGATTGCAACAAAGTAGGTACTGACCACATTCCGAAGAGCACCGAAGCTACGGACCCGACTCCAAGAGCCGCGTAGACACCGAGCCACTTGCCCAAATCTTGGTTTGGTCTCTGTTCGTTGGACTCGGCCCACCACTTGAGCCAGATATCTGACGATGAACTTGTCAGTCTTTGATGATTCAACGTTCAGAGACCTTTCGAGCTTACCGGGAAATGAGTCACAGAAGGCAAAGACAATCATGGCACCAGCAAAAGTCGACAGGCTAAACCACCCAGCAGCTCTGGCATAGAAAGCATACATCCCCCAGTCGCCAAGCTGGCGGGCGGAATCTGCTTGGTCTTCGAGTAGGCCGAGGACCGTGGCTGGTGGCTTATCGTTTGTGGTTGTTGTCATCGGCGGTAAGGCTGCTCTAACGCTGTCGCTTGTACCAGCGTGTTTGCTTGGGGAGTTTGGTAGTCGGTCGACTTTCATGGACGCCTCGTTGTCTATAATTCGGCCCTCATCGTTGAGAAGTACGACATCGTCGGCAAAAGGGACTCGGCGAGCTGTCAGAAACTCATTAGTAAGACACAGAGATTATACGAGTCGAAGAGGGGGGCCTTACAATCGGAAGATGCTAAGATGACAGTCGTATCCGTGTGGCGGAGCAAACCACTACTGCCAAAGAGGTTATGGAAGACGATGTCTTCGGTGCTAGAGTCTAGACCGCTGAAAACATCGTCAAGCAACAATAGTTCTTGTCTTGCGTACAAAGCGCGAGCAATGGCCTACCATGATGTTAGCTACTACTAATTGCCCTAGGCAAAAGACAGCTTCTTGACATACCAGACGATGCTTCTGACCACCACTCATGGAAATCCCCTTCGTACCCGCCCCTGTATTATCTCCATTCGGCCAGTTAAAAAAATCTTGCTCCAAAGCACACGCCTTGATGATTGTGTAGTACCAGGCCGGATCGAACGCGGCGTGGCCGGTGATGATGTTCCGCACACTGTCATTCGGTATCCACGCTGTTTGGCCGCAATATGTGATGCCGGAGAAGCTGGTGGAAATAGTGCCCTTGAAAGACGATAGTTCGCCGAGTATGCACTTCAGAAGCGTCGACTTGCCGCAGCCCACGGGGCCTAGTACCAAGGTGAAAGCTCGCCGCCGAACGTTCCAATTGTCGATATCGATGACTGGCTTAGTGTCGTCTGACCAAGAGAACGTTCCGTTTACAGAGGCGATGACGTTGGGGGCCAGATTGGCGTTTGGCGACTCACTTTGATGCATGTCGGATAGCTCGAAGCCAGGGGCTAGACCGGCAGCTTTGGGAGACTCTATGACGGACCTCCCAGCCG